ATACATACATACACATAAATATTCATATTGGCATACATACTTACCTACATACATTGCTCAACATAAAATATGTAAACTGTACAGAGCAGAAATAAACACTTTGGCAATTTAATTCCTCACTACACTTACCCCCATTATTTACTATCCGAATTTTGTACCGTACCTTCAAATAATACCTGGTGTAATTATTTAATAATCTTAACATATAGATGAATACATAATCTCATAGGAATAAGAGCACTACATAAACAAAGCTTGACTATTGTCTATTTCAGTTTTTCAACATATTCCAAACCAATAATGTACTTTGCATCTAAACATCTTGCAAAATGTTCAAAATCTGCATCAGCTGGCAATTTAGGAAAGTAAAACTCTGGTGTTTGTACAGTTGATTATAATAAATAATGATGACATTCAGTATTTACATTATTCTGGGTATGAATGCATTATTTCTTAACAGGGAGAGATTCTATAATGCACTTACTTCTTTTGTTTCAACAGTACAAATAACTTATACACAAGTGTGTAGTTCTACTAAAACATTGTAATACATCTTACAGAAATACACATACTGTATTTATAATATTTAGGGGGCCACATTCACACCATCTTCTAAAGACAGTTCACTGTTTCTTGTAATATATATCTGTTTCCACAGAGATAAGAATATATTTTATCAATCATGATCATATCAATACACTTTTAAAATACCTCAAATAGGGTAACATATAAAAAGTTGGGAAAAGTGCATCCTTGCATATTACACTTTTGTCATGGAAGATAGGGCTAAAAAGACCCAAGTGTAATTTTACTTTCAAATGATTTCAAAGAGAAACTTGACACAAACACTGCATATAGAATATTGTGGACCCTTATGTAGATATAGGAAAGGTATTTTTCCCATTATCCAAACAATGGAAGGGGTACAATATTCATCTTCTTTACACATTCGGAAAATGGTAGTTATCTGCTGGTCTTCATGAATTCGCAGATTTTATGAAAATCATATTATATTTCTTGACTAGAATGGCCCTATCTTTATGCAGAATAATCATGATAATCTTAAAAAAACAAAATATTATAGATAATAGTAATAACATAAAAACGAAAATGACAACTAACTAAACAGACACAAAAAAATTACATATTTTTGCAATTCTTTAATCAAACAAGATTACCAAGTTAGACTTGACTGTAAAAGAAAATGATCACAGCACCCTGTCCCAGAATACTAATGAAATAATAAAGAAAACCAAATGCAGTTACGTGGCCAAAGCACACAAAGCTTTGTCTCCTCAAAGGACTCTTCCGTAAGATAATGCTCACCTACAAACACATTCTTTACTTACTACACTGAAGAACACAGTATATTAGATCTCACTTCCTCTAGTTTAGTTCTCAAGTGATTCTTCACCTTTTGGTCATCACAAGAAGTATGCTCAAAGTGATTGTTGAAGGGAATTTCCCTATCAACACTTAAATTACACAACTGCAACCTGAAAACCTTTCTGTGAGTACATATATATATAAACATATATATGTATATATCATACATATACATTTACATATATATATACATATACACATAATATATATATATTCCATATACATACATTATATATATACACACATACATATACATATACATTATTAATATACATACATGCATATTTCATGTATATATGCATAACTGTCTTATTCAGTGTTCCATTCCATTCCTTGACCCTCTAAATGATGTAGAATATTAGACTTACTCTGCTTATTACTTCCTCTCACATCTCTAACATGTTTCCAAACTGAGGCCTTTCACTTCAGGTAAAGATATTAGTGAAGTACAAGAAAATTAAAAGAAGGAGCTTAGTTTATCATGTTTAGGTTCACATTCATGCAATATATTTCTTGGAATCCTTATCATGTTAACTATAAGGAGGCAATTTCAGCCAGTATGAAAGGTGAACATTAATTTCGTAAAGATGCATTATGGAAGGTCTAACTGGATTGCTTAACAATATCTCAGGTCTCAGTAGGCACTAATGCTTCAGTCTTGAGAGTTCAAATGAAGAATATCTTGCACAAGACCCTAATTGTAAAATTTATTAACTCTGAAGTAAAGAATACCATAATTCTTTGAGGACTTCTAAATCTCATGATCCAAAAGAGATGTATCAAACATGTGGCAATAAAGTCCCATTTTGAACTATATTAAGAACTATAAGAACTATATTAATTAATCTATACCATAATAAATAATTAAAGATATACAAGACCTGATCAACATGTAAGCAGAAAACTATTTTGCAACATAACTAATAACATGAGCTCCTTACTTTCCTTGAGTGGTTTTCTGTATATGAATCAATATTGGGAGATTGGAAAGCATGCCTTATCATGTGAAAATGGTGGCTGAGTTATACATGGGCACTACCCTCCCTAAAACAGAAGGTTTTCACTCTTTTTGGGGATATTTCAGCGTGTATGAGGGCTGCTGAAACAAAGAGGATGCAGAATAGTCTGAACCTATGGCATTTTCAGATGGCCACACAGGCACAGAGCAGGACTGCCACTGAAGACTGTACATACATATACACATATATATACATATTTGTATACACATAAATATAGATATATATATATACGTACATATAATTATATAAATTACACTACCTCAGTCATCCCAATCATTTCACATCCGATGTTAAAATTAAGCGGAATAAACAGAAGAACTTTGGAATGGCTAAACATCCGTGTCATAATAAGGCTTTCAATATACAGTGTAACCATTAACATTCTGCTTAAATACTTGCTTAAGAGATTAGTAGGAATATTAATTTTTTTAAAAATCATGCAGCTTTAATCAATACAAGCTTAGTCTGTTGATCAGTCCCTACAGGTTTCACTGTGAAAGCCTAGATAAGCAAATACAAAACAAACAGATCTTGATTGAAAATTCCAAAATATAAATACATGAATCATCTTTAATTTCTTATCAGCACAAAAAGAACCAGGAGAGGGTCCATTTCTTAGTTTTCAGAAACCACCCTAAGAAATAACAATTTAGCAAATCATAAATATGAAGTAGTTAATTCAACCTAGCTTTTACTCCCACACAGAACTGCTATGTTCTATACGAGAAAAGAATGACGATCTATACATTGAGCAATAATTATCAACATTACCACAAACTTTTTACAAGAACACCACTTAATACAGCAAAGCATCTATTTCCAAATTTTACAAAGATATTGAAGATATATAGATAATTTACTTAAAGACCACACACTGAGGAAATTACGCCATTCAATACCAAAAAATCTGAGCATTACACAGGAAGTGAAATTCATACATGGTATATCCCAACATTCAAAAATCACATGCATGATAAATAATGACTGATACATGGCTTTCTGACAGAAAAATCAAGGCTTACTCACATTGTGCTTTATCAAAACATAATCTCTTTTTCCTTATATCTTTGCAAAATTTACTGACACACTGAGATCAGCATCCAGAAAAGAAAGAGGAAAAAGATGTTTGGGCTTTCAACCTTCTAGCAAATATTTGCAACTTCCACACATCAGGATTAAGTAATTGACCTTAATGTTATGCTATATTTACAGGTTTTCTTTCAACAAGGCAAAGAGGTAAACAAAAAATTGTTAATCCAGGTGTCAAGCTTCTACCGTCTCATATGCAAACATTACCTACAAAGTTTTTGAACTAGGCACACATCCTATGACACTAACTCATGAAAACATTCCCATTATCAGGGTTACACAGCTGATCAGTGAAGACAGTCAGGTCACAAAACAGCAATGAACTTAATACCTTCACTCTCCTCCATGGGACCTGTATTCTTCAATTCCTTCCACATTCCTTGAACTTCTCTGCTGGCTACAGCTGCTACCAAGTCCTCAGTCTGTCAGCACAAATGTATGGATGCAGGCAGACACTTACAAATTCATAGACATACACACACTTACATTCACCTTCAGAGACACACACACACATGGACACGCAGACATTCACCATTTCTTTCTCGCCAAGGTCTTTGCATTGGATGGTGGAAATACTTGTATGAGCACATAGCAAGCAAAGGAAGATCAATACCCTACAGTGCTCTGCAAAGATATCAGCAAATGCAAGAAAAAACAGCTGCTGAAGCATCTAAACACTACTTCTTCTTTTTTGGCAACTGCCACAGCTTTGAATAAGCTTTCAGATATCAATTACAAAAAAGGTATATAGCAATACACAGCAGCTAATAATTACTTGCTAATCAAAGTTAAAAAGAATTCAAGCTCCAATACTATCACATGAAGCCATGACACTCATGCCACACAAAACAAAACAAAAAACAACTTCAAAAGAAAATTAAAATTGCTGTTCGTTTCCCTCAGTATCTATACAATTCCCTGTCCCATAGAACCTGAAAACCTTTATCATATTTGCATTCTTGTTTCATTATTTTTAATATCTTCATGAAGCTTTAAATCAGTGAAAAAAGGCTGAACACAGTAGCCAAGGCATAATGAGAGCATGAATCTCATCAGTTTTTTATTACCAAAAAATAGAATGGTAGATAAACACATCTCCTTCCAACTCAACTATTACAACTTGGTAAATGCATAAACTGTTATTGGCTTCACCATCTGAAACCTAATGTCACTTGAAGATAAATAAACTCAATGTCTATGTAAGACCTTTCTCTCTAATCATTGCATATCAGTTGCCAATTAACATTACTTTTTGGACAGAGGACTAGGGTGTGTGTTTGTTTGTTTGTGTTTGTTTAGTTATAAATATAATCATTCCAAAAATCCTCAAAAATAATCATGATAATTAATAAACTTATACTGGTTTATGAAAATTCTCTTGATCTTCATTTATAAAATATAGTATGCTCCCAAATTATGATAGTTCTATTGTCTTGTACTTCCATTTGTTGATTCATGGAGAACAGAAATAATAAAAATTATGATTAAAAATAAATACACAACATATCCTTCTACTATCCATTTACTAAATTCTATACAATGTTATTCTCTTTTTACGCTAATCCTCAAAACAGGCTACAGAAGTCAAATGTTCAGTAACAAGCCATTTCCATCTGAAGCGCAGACTGACAGCTCAAAAGTCATTACTTACTTTCCTTTTAAAACATTTCCTTTACTGATTCCATCAGCTCAATTCATTTTCTATCCTACCTGTAAGTACCTGGTACCTCAGAAAGCACCTGTTAACCTGTAAAAGGTAGGAAATCTTTGTGTTACAACTGTCACCAAAGTTAGAGGGTAACTGGAGTCTAATTGGGCCCTCCCCTTTATCTTCTTTTGGAATTTCTTTTTCCTTCTTTTGGGTGTATGTAAGGCATCAGTTGCAATATAATGTACAGCAATGCAGCAACCTCCATTAATCCTTTCAAGAGTTGAAATGAAGAGCCAGTGCAAATATTCAACTGAAAAATAAAACAATCAACAGAAATCAAGAGCCACAGCACAGTGTTGATATTTGGAAAGTCGAGGCTCAGATTCTCAAAGCAAAACAACAGTGTCAAATAAGCCACTGTTGCATTTTCAGGGGGAGAGCCCAGTCACTACTATTTTCTGTAGGCAGGGCACATATCATGAAGTTTTAGCATCAATGTACAGCACAATCAATTATTTCTCCACGTCTAACTACTTTCAGACACATCCATCCTATGCGTCTGACTCGCCTTGTCCAGCGCCTTCATCCTCCAGGATAGGAACAATAAGATTATCCCGAGACATCAAATTGTACTTTGTTACGAAAACTGTAAATCGCCGACACAGAGAGGTCTCCGCCTGTACATGGGATAATAGAAAAGAGTTATTCACATTATATTATTAATTATATAAAAACTGTATATACCACAGTAAAGAATATCAAAAGCACACATCTTTTGTTCTTAAAATCTTCTAAGAATCTTTCTTACCTCAAATTCATCAAATATTTGTCTATGGTGGAAATATGCATGGGAGAATATCCTGTAGACTCTCCTGCACACTGATCCCAGTTTGGCTACGGAGGATTCTTTGATGCTTACTCTGTAAAAAAAAAAATAATAAATAATAATCATTACAACATATTCATAACACAGAGATACAACAACTACGCTGGCAGCAATTCTAAGGATGAAAAATGTGACAATGAGTAATGAGTAAAAACTGTTCTATTTTTGCTAACATGAGAATATTTAAATCAAGAGACATAACCATTCTTATATTATGATGCCATAGATATAATGTAAGTGACTTTGTTAAACCACAAGGAAATAAAAAAATTCTGTTATCTTATATATATAAAAAAAAATGGTGGGTCACAAGGGAGGCTACAAAAAAATACTGTAGGTCAATTTGCTAGGCAACATAATTTTTCATTTCAGAATACACAGTGATGCCCTTTCTTCTGGGAAAATTGTATTATACTTAGATAAATACAGACCACTGTTTTTTGTTTTTGGCCTAATTATATGTAGTTAGAAAAAATATGAATAAGACAGCTGAGGTGAGAGGGTACAGAGGTGTTGGATGTTTGAGAATTAGGTCATGAGTGTAAAAAGGTTAGGAACTAGTGAACTACATGTATTCTGTATTCTACTAACAGCTTATAGATCTATGATTTACTATATTCAATTAATTTTTTTCAACTATAATTTTCTTAAAGAGAACGGAAATTTGTGCAATATAGCTCAATAAATAAATCAAATAAATTTCATCCAAACGTACATTTCACAGGACACAGTTTACAGTTATTTTCAAACACACAAGATGCTGAACTAACTCGCACCAAGTGGCATATGCTAAGATAAAAAATCCCAGACACCAGGTGATGCCTCATCCTATCATAATTCTTTGTTCCAAATGCCATGCCATGTGTGGGAATACCATAATTCAAGCACTTTCAAGGTTGGACATACTTTAAAAAAAAAAAATGGTTGGGAAGGGGTGGGTGACATCTGCAAATGTAATATTAAAGGTGATGTTGACATACTAAATAAGTTATAATTACTCATAGTGATCTAGTTGGTTGCCTGTTTTTTGGTTATAAGAAGTGATCTGAATGGTCAAGTGGTACATAAAATCTGGAATCACACAAGGGATAATCACTCTTACTTCTTACTAGGCGAAGTCAAGCAAACCATAAGACTGCAATGGGAAAAATTACATTACAATATCAAGTGTGCTACTGCAAGCCGGACAATCACCCACGGCAAAGTTGCACATGCACTAATGCACACCCATCCTCTGCTGATATCATAAACCCAAATTTGTCTAAGCCTACCATTTTCATATAAACATATATCATACTACTGAGCTCTTTCCAAGAAACATACTATGTTTATTCTGGGCCTTTATTAGTGTTATTAAACAAACTCTTAAATCTACCTCAAGAAGAGAGCTAAAATGGTCTATATATTGACATTTCTGAGAACCTTTTAACTATTACAGCATATTCACCCCAATTATGGCTTTCCATCTAATGTGCATATCTTACACAATACAAGGCCTGTTACAAATTGGTTGGCTTCCTTCTTAGACATTTTTGTTATCAAAGAGCCATACATAATGTTCATAAGATATCTGGTAGCGTTTGGCAAGTTTCTAGCAATCATACCCATGATATCCTGCCCAAACCCCTATTGCCAATGTAGGCCCTCCATTCGCTAACCCAAACATAAACATATTTTCTTGCATTTTTCATATTGTGAATGGAACATACTAAGAGAGAATGAGTAAATTCTGGTTCTGCATAGCATTTCTTATCCAGCTAAACCCTTCCGTCTTTTTATCTCCCATATTCCACCTTCACATTTACACAGTCTGTTTACCACCTTTTCTTCTTGTGAAGAAGAGGTGGGCAAACAGAAATAGTAATTCTGGTACTGTATGGTATTTTTCATTGATAATGTTGAAATGCATATAAATTTGCCTTAATGAAACAATAATTTGTTTTAGTGAAACCGAAAACCAGGTCTTTTTGTGAGAAAGACAAGTTGGAGGGTTTGCATTTCTTAGGGATTAAGTATCTATATATGAAGAAATGAAAATCACAATTATATACATGCATACACAAACACTTCCTTCCCTTTACATATCATTAACTAAATAGGCACTAGGATTACGAACTGCACAAAAACTTTTACATTAAGAAAAAATTATTATATCTATCATAAAAGTGATTTTATGGTGCTTCTCACACCTAGCACAACCTCACAAAAACAATGATAAAAATCACAAAGCCAAAGGAACTGAAAGACCACACACTACTACCTGTCATAACAAACACCAACCTGCTGGGAAAGTACTTATTAGAGTTGAGAAGACAGGCAGCCCCATCCAAGGTGTGTCGGGTATAGTCAATAGCTGGACACTCTTTGGGTGTCTTGTGTGCAGCACAGAGGAAGATCCACTGCTCTGTGGCTGTCATCTGAGTGCACGTAGTGGGCTGGCACTCTCCCTGTAGTCGTACTGCCAAGCCATTCAACTCCATACAAAACTGCCTAGAAATGTCATGGGACAATCAATGTTTGAGTGACAACTGTTTTGCATGCCAGTATCTGATACTGGTGTTGTTTGCATCTGCTTCCAAAGATAATAATAAAAAGATCTCATAAGCAGTAACATCTAAAGTATAAAATATTCAAATCAAGCACATAATCTGTTCATCACAGTTAGTCTGAAGCATCTACAAAAACTTTTCAGACTTTATCACCTGAAAGAAACTTACTGCAGCCATCTTTCTCTCCCAGATAATTCAAGGCTAAAAAAGATCACCAAAATTCCTCACCACTTTGTTGACAACGACAGCAAGTTAAATGTTCTATGATATAAACAGCTTACCAGTGACGCATAATGCAAGTCCTAAAGAGATCACACCTTTTACCTTTCCTAACTACCTCTTATTCATACCGTGCACAATATATACTTGTCATTCTTACCTTAGATGCTCATACTTCCAAACCCCTTCATCTTGAGTTTCTGGGGCATTGAGAATGGCGTCAATGTTGTTGTGGTCATGTCGGATGGTCTGCTGGATGTACTGCTGCACTACAAGGGTCGAGTCCATCTCTTCATAGGCCTCTTCACACCATCGGTAAAAATTCTAAAGTGGGAGAATCGAAAACCTTGCGTCATCAAAGGGCAAAGATTTCTAATCTGTATGAAACTAAGGATGTTCAAAGGAACAGAAAGACAATGAAAAAAGTATGCTCTCAAAATATACAAACTCGTATACATTACTACATATGGTAAAAATTAACATAATGCAATTTTCATTATTGATATTTCTATTTTCATTGTAACTGCTATTGTTACACTTATCATTATCATCATCATCATCATCATCATCATCATCCCTTTTATCAATATCATTAATACCACCATTAGCATTACTATTACTATTATTATCACTATCATTGTTATCATTATCATTGTCATTCTTATTATTGCTATTATCATTATCATTATTATCATTACTAATATCATTATTATCATGATTACTATTATCAAGTGACATAACAACAAAATAATAATATTGACAATAACAATGACCACTACAATAACAATAACACCAATCATCATCATCACTGTCATTGTCATTGTCATTATTATTATACTTATCATCATTATCATCATTATCATTATTATCATTATTGTCATTATTATTACTATTATCATTACTATTATCATTATTATCATTATCATTATTATTACTATTAATATTACTATCATTATTGCAATTATTATTATTACCATTATTATTATTCACTTTATTATTATTATCATTATTATTATCATCACTATTATCATTATCCTCATAATCATTATAATCAATATTATCTTTATCATCCTCATGATGATTATAATTAATATCATCATCACCAATATCATCAATATCATCATCATCATCATCATCATCATCATTTCTATTATCATCATTGCCATTATCATTGTCACTATCATTATTATTATTATTTTTATCATCATCATCATTAGACTACTGTTGCTATCACATTCATTAGACTACTGTCACTACCACATTCATGACTTTTATCATTATCTCTTATCAACATCATTATTATTATTACTATGAATATCATTATAAAAGTGTAAAAAATACATCAACAAAAAATAACAATAACAATAATAATAATAACTAAAAACTAACAAATAATATTTCTAATTACAATAATTACAGGAATAGTAATAATAATAACTCATAATAATTACAAATATATATATACATATATATATAAATATATATATAAATATATATATATATATATATGTATATAATATATATATTTAATAACTCACAATAAGAACAACAACAAGAAGAATAACAAGAATATAATAACAACGATTATAGTAACAATATTTATAACAATAATTATAATATTAATGAAAACAATATAAATAATAATGCTTATTGGTTCAAACAAATAAATGTGCCACATCAAAGGTCATATAGCACTATGATAAAATATAGGGTAAAAATAAGTTTAAAGAGTTGGACAAAATGTGTTAGATGTCAAAGGTCGCAGAGCACAAAAAGGATAGTTTCATAGTGAATAGGGTAAAGACAAGGAGCAGAGATTAGTAAAGGAGGGAAGGGGGTTCAGGGTGATTTGTAATTAGATCAAAGGGAGAGTATTTATGCGTCTGAAGTCAGAAGAGGAGCACTGGATGAGGAACAGTGCAAAAGAGCTATCACAAAGCAATCAACGGGTAATAAGGGTAGACAAGGGAAAAGGGAAAGGAGGTGAAGTATCAGGAAGAATGCCAGTTTGGGAAGGATCCAGAGAAGGACACTGTTGTGACAAAAGGGAGTCATGTGACCATCCAAGTGGGAGCAGAAAGGATAATGGAGACTGGGAGAGAAGAGGGAGTAGTGGATGTTAAGGGGTAGGTGGTCAAGATACTGCTGAGATAATCTTGGAGAGAAGGGAAAGGAGGTATAAGTATCAAGGTAGGAGTGAGGCTGGGTTCACCAGTGAGGTCAGTCAAGGTTGATAATGCCCAAGCTTAGGAGTCTGATGTAACTGTGACAAGGCATGAATGATCAGACCAGCTGCAGAGGGAAACTTTGCCTACTTGTTTTTGGAGCCATTGTTGGAAGAGGTTGTAAGGAGAATCACAAAGAATCTATACCCCTGTGGCTAAGCTAAAAAGAGTATTCAAAAGGTATTAGAAGAACAAGGAAGGGAGGAAGAGGGAGTGGCGTGGAGTGAGGTTGTACTGCCGGGAGGGAAACAATATGGATGAAAACTAGTAAGGAAAGAGGGGGCAGAATAATAAGAAGATTGTGGAGGAGGAGGAGATGGAGTGGAGGATGTTGGGAGAGAGGAAGCAATGTATTCTAGAGGTGGGAGTGACCTGGTTGGATGATTCGTATTGGACCAAGTTGACAGTAAGCACTGGGGGATGTAGTAGTAGTAGTGGTCAGGGCTGTGATCAAAGGAGAGGAAGGGGTTGGAAAACAAGATAGGCTAGTTTATGCCTTAATCAATGCCTTTTATATGGGTAGAAAATCTTCATTACTGGCCAGGAAGAGCCAGAAAAATAAGGGGAAAGAAACAGTCTACCCTTCAGGATCCCCTTGAGGGGTAAGGGTGAAGTAATACAAGAAGAGCATATCATGCCTCTTCATTAATGATGATGATGATGACTGATGATGGTGATTGATGATGAAGATGATGATAAAAATAATATTAATAATGATAACAACAACAACAACAATGATGATAACTAAAAATAATCTAATAATGAAAACACTAATAATGCAAATAATCACAAAAATAATGAAAGTAATGAAAATAATGGAAAAAATAATGGAAACAATAATAATAATAACAACAACAACAACAACAACAACAATAATCATAATCATATTCATAATTATAATAATAGCAGTAACAACAATTACAATATTATCATCATTATCATCACTATCAATATCACAATCATCATCATTATTGCATTACTATTATCATCATCAATATTGTATCATTAAGATTTTCTTTAGTGCATCATCATCACCATCACCAACACCATCATCACCATCACCATCATCATCACCATCACCATCACCATTATTGCATTTATTACTAGTACCATTATCTCATTATTACCATTACTATTACAATCACCATCACTATCACTATAATCTAAATCCAGACCCTAAAACACACTTTTAAAATATACTTTCATACACCATTTTTGCACTTCCCATCTCAGCTTCTTTTACACATAATGTCACTTCAAAAAGAAACATATCAGATATCTAGATTACACACATCCTTTGAAATACAGAGTAAATAAAAATTTGAAAAACCAATTTCACCTTTTCAATCTAAGCCACAACAGACATATTATGCATAAAAATCAGTAAGATGAACAAAACCTTCCAACAACAACAGAAAGACTAACAGCAAACCCACAGTTCAGGGCAGAGGGAGCAACTGGACTGGCTGGGGGCACCAGTGACAAGGGAAAACAAGGTCAACAGGGAAAGTGACACCAGATCCATATATGAATTGTCATGAACTCTTGAATAGGTACGTGCAAATTGCTTGAACAAAATGAAAATTGAGAATGAGTCATGAATGAGCAAAAAAAAATATATGGAGGGAATTACATACTTAGCTATATTTTCATTCTGACTACAAATTTCAAGACCTTAAAAACATATTTATAAACAATCCTGAAGGTTTCTAGTGTTTTATATGTCATGCACACTTAAAAATACAGATCAAGGATGACAACTAACACTTGTTAACTCTAAAACACGTCTATGTTCAGACAAGAAATCAATAAGTAAGAAATAAATAAGTGAGAAGATAACAGAGCTGTTCTGATGAGTTACCCACTTCAATTGAACTCACTACCATCTGGAACATGTAATGTCCGATCTAGTATTGTTTTGTGAATTTTGTTTACACACAGATCTTTCCAAAAGTACTCAGCTCTCAAGGGGCCAATTAGTAGGCCTTTATGACCTCACCTGATTTCCACTTTCCTGTTTATTATATCATTATTATTGACATTATGATTACTGTAAGATTATTAGCAATACTAATAGTAATATAAAATAAAAGAATTCCAAAAATCAGGGGAAAGGGTAAACAAGTGAGCTAAGTAGGACTAGTAATTGACTCTTGGTGACTTAGTACTTGTGAAGCCATCTATGTGTAAACACAATATACTAATATCACAATGGACATGACATGTACATACATGTTGTCCCTGGGAGCAATGGGTTTACTATTTCTAACCATATGTTACCTAGCCAAAGGGCTCTACCCCCTGGACCCAATGCTCATTATACAATACATCCTGACCCCATACCCAACATAACCCATTTACAACGGGTGTCCCATATATGAGACACACGGAAAAATAAACATTGCCAGTGTAACATTGGATCAGAGAATACTTTGCGGGCCGTGGCTGGAGCACAGGCAGATTCTAGGCTGGCCCCACATGCTGATTTTGCAGCCGCCCGGAAACTTATTATTTTCAGCTTCAAAATATAGCAGCATTAGTGGGTTAACTTCAAAAGTACAGTGCCTTTTTAAGAGAGACAATGACTGATAGAGACTTTAACATCTCCATGCACAAAGACCATGTGTGCATAGGTTAGTTGTTGGCTGTAATTTGAGGTAAGGCTCGACTTAGTTGTGGAAAGTACATGGGGACTAATCTCTTCATTTCTGATGTTATCTTTTGCCATGTATTTTTTCCTCTCTCTTTATGACAGTGTCATTAGATTTTCCTAATCTTAGTGCTGTTATTATGTATATATACATCTTTTTATTACTATCTGTATCTTATCTTTAATGTTAAACATAAACAAAAGATATTTACTGTATTGGTTTCATTTAGTATACTACATAAATATTTAAAAAATACATAAATATTGTTAATTGTACATTTACTGCACTAAGCAATATAAGTCTCTAATAAATGAATGTCAAATTTTTAATAGACACTACGGTATAGTTTCAGTTTTATACAGCTGTATAAGTCTACAAGGTAAACTTGCCTGTAATGATAAAATAACAGAAAATAAGGCTAATATCACCAACAGCAATGCACAGAGATAGAGGGAAATGGACATGGCAATCTTATAAAGCAAAAGAAATAATGTCGTAAACAGCACAGATACAACTACTAAGGCCTTGCATTTACCACAAAATGACCACTCACAGACTATCCAAAACACCCTCACATTGCCAGAGTTCTTAATGTCCATTTCTTTAGGTTGGTACAAAGTGCTAGTTAAGGTGGGTGATTATTTTTTTACAATATGGATGCACTCTCCATAGACTAAGTCCCCAACTCAATAACAAATAAAAAAAATTATCAATCTAAAGGTGTGGTTCAACCAGCCTTATCTTTATCTAGGACCTGACTTGTGTCCATGTGCCCAGCCAGACATAGTGCTTTCAACTGCGAAAAGCACCGCTGTAATAAACCACAAATACCTCTTGCCTGAATAACATCACTCATAGTACTTTTCATTTGGACAACATGGAGCACAAGGACTTATTCCGTTTCACTGTAATTTCGTGCTTCATAGGATATATCTTTTTTGAGAAAGAAGCACAAAAAATTTATTTACTGATTCAAAATTACACTATTCTGATGAGCCATTGCAGTGAGTGTAGAGCCTCAGTTTCAAAATAATTTTTTCTTGTTGGTTTGTTTTTGATAATAAATTATGAATTTTTAGATAATTAACTTTAAGAACTTTATATAAATCTCCAATATAACTTCTGTTGACTTTATTGATATTGATAATTTCTTTAAACAAATTACAGATAATAGTTTTGATTGCACCATGGAAAGCCTAGAGATACCCAAGGAAAAAGACACTTGTTCATGTTACAGCGGATTGCCCTCAGCCTCCAAGATTTCATACCAAAGTGACGGATTCGGCCCAAATAGCCACACTTACAGCCAGACCTGCCAGTACATAAGACCAGTTGAACCACGCCTTAAGTTGCCATGACTCGCCATGCCTAAGGAGAGAGACTGCCCCCCAACACCCTCCCAGGAAACATTGTCTTCACTTCGGTATGAACAGCAAGATTGAGCTGAAACCCAGGAGCACCAAGTGGACTTTGGCTGAGAGTGTCGCTTCTCATGATCTTTTTCCTTTATTTGTGAAGTTAGCGTTCATGTCTGCAGATTATTTCTTGTACCGACAACAGCAACTTTTAGTCCTCTACAAGAATTTCAAGAATTTGCCCTAACCTAGCACATCCATACTGTAAAGATTAACTTAGGGAGGCCTAGAGAATAAATAGAAGGTAGGGAGGATTAGGTTTGGGTTTTTGGGTTCACATGATACCCTGGTTTTAGGATTTAGTCACTTTACATCTACAATGTTTCCTCCAAAAAATTATAATAATAAGGTTGTGAAACACATAATGCATTGGTATACATTTACATAAAAATGTAATGACACGTATCATAATGAAAGGGGAAAACTACACTTACTGATACATGAAATAATCTGTACAGGCAAAAACCTTAGAAATAAAGTTAATATGTTGCGACATGCCATGCAGAGAACAAGTCCACTGCAATTAGGTGGGGTTAGGAGAGTTTTTAGTTAATATAGTGCCCTTTGTGGATTCCGAAAGTGGCTGGAGTAATAGAGACTTAAGTTCAGAGGGGTGTGGTCACTGTAAACAGTACTTTCATTTATAACATTTGTAATGAAAAACAACAAAGATCAATGCGTATTACAAAGTGAAACATGGAATAACAATTGCAAAGTTAGATGGCTGTGACACTAAGAAATTACCGATACCAATTACAGGCCTTTCCTCTGTCAGCACTCCAGCAAAAGCTAGCAAACCGTCATTAGCATTACATTAACAAGAGACAGCTTGCAGACCTTCCCTAAAATATTTCTAGAATTAAATAAACAATCTGACCTCCTTCTAACCATAATATGCATGGTGATTTGTTTCCCTTGGATAAAAAGGTTTTTTTTTAGCACCCGTGTGGGTATCTTCAGGTCTAGTAATATAGGTATTTCCGTCACTGGTTCACATCATGTTACATTGAAATTTATTTTCACTGACCTATTGTAACAATTATCATAAAAAAATTGTAAAAATAAGTCTGATTTTAACGCATATGCCTTCAATGACTTCAATCTAAGGCGATATAGAAGGAATTCCAAAAATAAAGGCGGCTTCTTTCAGTCGTACACCAAAATTTGGCAAAATTAAGCTCTAGTTTTGTAAAACAACATCACGACAGTATCAATCATTTCATCCTAACCTATTTGAATGGTCAAATAATAGTAAATCACAAGTATACCGTAAAAACAATAATAAAAACTAAACAAACGCACGAACAAACCAACAATATCTACGTGTTTAATCATTTTTCTAATTAACTCTCTTTCAATTCTTCCTTCTCCATTCACACGCCAACCTCCTACATATGAATATAGGCCTAAAATCCTCACCTGAGCCTTAGTTCCAGGCCTATTTCTCCTTAACACGACACTTTGACTCTGGTCCGCCATCTTCATCTCTACTCTGTTCGCATCCTCGTATTTACGGCTTTAATTGCTTTTTCGTTTGTTTTTCGCTGTCTGTAAGAGTTTGTGGGCTACATATTTCTTATTTGGTTCATCTTTCTCTTTACTCATATCAAATTAATCTAGTTGGTGATAAGATTACCATAGACATGGAAGAGTTTTATACGCTGTAGCTATTTTGAGGTACAATATATTGTTTTCGATACTTTCGTCCTTTATTCCGGTTAATTCATTACTTCCCTATCATTCATTTATGCACATTTGATGGTATAAACAAGCGTCAAGGTTATCTAAGCCATAGTATAAATTATCATGTGTAAATAATTCACCGTAGATTCAAACCATAGAATCGGACACCAGATGGGTGTACCAAACATACCGTGATTAATGAATGCATATGATATAAACAATAATAATATGGCAACATGACATATATACACTTGGATATCAGTACCAAGTATTTACCAGAGATAGAAATTCTCACACGGTGTTAAAAGAAAGATATGAAAGGTTAAGGCTGATGAGAGAGAGGAGACATTTCATGTTCAGCCCTATATTGGTAGATAATTGAGGAATAAAACAAGTAAGGTTGCTTTTAATTGTACAGTATGACAATCAATAGCAGAAGGGGAGGGAACGGAATATGGAGAAAGAAGTAGGAAAATAATGAAAATGGAGAGGAGACAGAAAGAGTGAGAATTTGAGAGTGGAGGTAGGAAGGAAGGGAAATACAGAGGAGGGAACAGAGAAAAAAGATACTGATAAAGAGAGATAAGAAAGAAAAGGCATTTCTCTTTACTTTTAACAATCCTTTTCCAGTCTACACGTTTATAATTTCTCCCGTGGGCTTCATAACACTAAAATCAATCAAGTAATATGATAGAGCTTTTAATGATCGGATAAACACTATATTAATAATATACTGTTAAAAAATCAAGATTTTTCGTTTTAACTTCAAAGATATCGGTAACACGTTTCTTTGATGTTGAGGATAAGATAGCAGGTAGTGTGAGAAATATATGAAATGTGAAATTCCTATCGTTGCTGCATCCGAGCTAGATATACATGGATGAGGCTAGTTTGTGATAACAACAATAGTCTCTTTGAAGAACGTGAGCACGGAGGTATAAACACAAGCATACGCACGGATGCACACACACCCGGAACACACGCAGATACGCGCAAACGCACACGGCTCATGTCGCACACACGCGCGCGCGCGCGCGAAAAAAAAGGTTAAATGACTTGGCAGTAAGACCATTTCCCGAAAAAGGGAATGGGAAGAAAATAAAATAAAGGACTTTGGGTACACAGATTATTAAAGAAAAGATAGACAGAAGATAAAGACTGAATAATGAATTAAAATTCCATCAGTTTTCACGTGTTGCTATACCTACTTGAAGGCACAATCATAAAAAACGCCATTCAGTTAGTCTTGTGTACGCCCAGGTCTGGCCGTAAGAGCGGCTATCTGGGCCGAATCGGTCACGAATCGGTGCGAAATCTGGGGGCTGAGGGCAAGGTCTATATAAGTACTTATATAGACCTTGGCTGAGGGGATCCAGCGATAACACGAACAAGAGCGCCTTTCCTCGGGTACCTTTGGTCTTGACAGGGTGCAATTAAAAGCCATTATCTGTAATTCACTTAAAGAAATGATCAATATCTGTAAAGTGAACAAAAGTTATATTGGGGATTTTATATGAAATATTTAGAATTATAACAAAATTCGTTTTATTACCAAGAATAAGTCAACAAATGGCTAATTTGAAACAGGATCTACACTCGCGTCGACAGCCCATCAGGCAAGCATTAATCATTTTAAATCAGTAAATCGGTTTCCATGCTTCTTTCTTAAATATATATATATATATATATATATATATATAATATATATATATATATATATTCGCCATGAAACCGTGAAATGGAATAAGTCCTTGCACTCCATGTTGTTCAAACGAGAAGTACTATGTGGAGTGCTGTTCAAACGAGAGGCATGCGCAGTCTTTTACGACGGTTCTTTTCGCAGTTGAAACACTACGTGTGGCAAGGCACTAGACGAAGATAAGGCCAGTTGAACCAGTTCAGTTCAGTTAGATTTGTGAAGATTAGCTTCGGCAGGGCCTTTTGTTTGGAGTGGCCAGGCCTGTGTCAGCTATTTCTAGTTGACTCGTGTTTTTAAGTTCAAAGCTTGCAATGCAGCTGCCACGGGGTAAGCGTTTGGCATACACTTTTGCCAGCCCGACGGCTGTGGTTTGGGGTCCCTGTCTCAGAAATTGCGTGTGTTCGCAATTCTGTAAGGAATGTAACAGGGTGGCATTCGGCTCGCCGCAGTGCATATATTGCCTGACAACTACGTCATCAAGAATTTGCCAAGCGCATGGTTAACCTAGTCATAACCTGTGCAGTATGACTTCGGTACCTCTTTTTATATTTGGAGTCAGGGCCAGTGGCTCATAGCCTGTGGCATCTGAGTACCACTTGGCTGAGAGCGAGTCTGTGGTATTTTCTCTGTGCGTCTGCCGGAGAACTGCAAGCGCTGTAGCTTCGGAACTTTGGCTCAGTCTTCTTTGGCTTGGGTTGACGATCATAGAATTTGGGGCATGCCCCTGCCCTTTCCGACTAGTCTGTCAGCAAGCTCATTCCCTTGGATGCCTATGCGGCTTGGGACCCAGTTAATGATTATTATTCTACCCTGATTAAAGATCCTCTGGTTATGGTAAGGACCGTGGTCAGCAGGTAGGTGTTGTCTTGGGGCATGCTATGCTGTAGACTGTTAGTGGCTGATCTAGAGTCTGTGTGTATGATCACGTGTCCATTCCTTAAGGACACATGGGTCAGGGCTTCCATGATAACTATTTCAGCTTGGAGCGATGAGGCCTTGTCAATGCCCCTAATGGATGTTCCGGCGCCTACACTGTGGTGTATGGGATCCACGGATCCGTCCGCATAGTAGGTTCTACTATGGCCATTGTACTTGTACTTAGGCAAGGCATAGAGTATTGATCTTTTCTCGACAAGTTCAGGACTGAGGACTCAATTAAGGTGTTTGCCCACGGTGGGGGTTCTTCGTAGTCAGGGTGGGGGAGGCCCTTGGCAAGCAGCCAAATTGAACAGTTGAACCTCCACTTGACTGGTCCCATATACGTGTAGGCCTAGCCGTAAGCACGGCTATCTGGGCCAAATCAGTCACTTTGGTGCGAAATCTGTGGGCCTGAGAGGAACCAGCATTAGCACGAACGAGTGTCTTTTTTCTTGGGTATCTCTGGTGTTTCCAGGGTGCAATTAAGAACTATTACCTGTAACACTTTAAAAAATCATCAGTATCTATAAAGTCAACAAAAGTTATAGTAGAGATTTTATATAAAACATTTAAGAGTTAATCATCACAAAGTTCGTTTTTTTTTTTTTATTACCAAAAATAAGTCAACAGAAAATGGCTCATTTGAAACATGATCTACACTAGCGTTGACGGCCCTCCAGGGAACCGTCCCATATGGGTAGGGGGGACAAGGTGTCAAACTGAGTTAGCTAGCGTATAGTATAGGTACATGGATGAGGGAACTACAAAACGTGTATTAAGAGCCTGCTGTGGGTAGTTCTCTTGGAGTCGACGCGAGACCCACTAACACTTGGGGAAGTACGTCGCTAATGAGCGCCCAGGTACACCTATGTGGACTTTTGCTTCTTCCAGTCGTGCATATGGCATTTGATTATGACATTGCGCATAGATATGAGTTCGTGAATGTTCAAGGAACACTTTTATACCAATATCTCAAAAAATATCAGTGATTTATGACGAAATATTTTGTGAAATAGATCTTTTAATAAATGTAAGTTTTGTGTTCTTTTACACACGAAATGTGCTTCTATCGAGACTCTCTGGTAATATGTTGTAGCTTACGAATTGATATGTACATATACCGAGTACGAAGCACTAATGTTTGAAAATATCCGTATAAGTAAGGATTGAAATATTTCTGTTAGACTTCGCTTAACGGTTGGTACATCACTGCATCAGTAAATTTGATTTAATTTTAACTTGGTCGTTACCGTTATAAAGGGCAATTCAATACGAAGGTTACCTGAAAGTCGGATTTTTGAACTTCGGATGTATAAGTGAGATACTGATTATTTCATATTGAAGATGATAGTACTCAGTAATACCCGTTCTGAAAAAAACTATTTGCGCAGTCTTCGTCTAAAGTTGAAAAAGTTATCGCATCTGCTTCATGTGTTCCCGATAACAAATATTACGTTTAGACATTACCGCAGATCTCAGGTACCATAAATTTACAAATATCCAACCACACCTAGGCGTCTACATGATCTTATGGACTTCTTAGTAAATATAATGGGTGTAAATGGCTAATCAACCTTACATTTGTTTCCCATTGCAATCTGTTAGTATTGACAATCATCGAAGAAAACGGTTTCAGAAGGATAACTAATATATTTTATTATTGTGATATAAAAGTCTATTAGGCCTATTAAATGAGGATGATTCATGTTTTTAAACTGTGTGCGTGCGTTTATGTACATATGATCCTCCTCGAAAATCATGAGTAAGTTCTCGAATTTCATGTACTAAATTCATGTTTTTTAAAAATTTCAAGATTGAATCACCATGCTGTATTCGTGCTAGGACTATAATGAGAATGATTTTGTACTAATGTTGCCATCCACAATTCTCCATTTCTTCCAAATAGAAGTAAAAAACAGTTTTTTATCTTTATTTAGACTAGTTATTTCTATGGTTCAATGCATTTATTAAACTTTTCAGACAAAAATATATACTTTTATATCCAACCAACAAAAATAAATTACTTACCTGTATAGAAAGCGTCCCTATTGAAAATGATAATTCCGATTGACTTGGTAATCATAGCATCGCAAAGTACACTAAGATAACGAACTTTGGAAAGCTGTTAAGATATATTACGCCGTATCCCCGCTCTTTGTTTGCATTACCTTCGGTACATCAATACGCTCGTAATTTTCGTGCGATTCAAATGCAGTTTGTTGCTTTTGCTAGAGCCTCG